TCGACACCTTGTGATCACACAGGCTGGTGTGTTTTTTCCATGTGGGCTTTGTTGTTTCCCTGCTACATGGCCGCTTGTTTACCTTCAGGAAGGGCCTTCTTCTTTTCCTCTGCCCTTCCTGACTGGCCCAGAGCTAAAGCTATTGTGATTGGGTATTGATTTACATTTGTGTTTGTGAAGAACTGTGAATGTTTTGATTATTATGGTTACTGACATCAACAAGTTAGTTTATTTCATTTAAAAAAATTCTCTAATCAGAGCAATAGTCTTAAGAACTTTTAAATTATTTTTATTTATAATAGATATGATGCTTACACATTTTAAAAATAATTGGAATATTTGATTAGCTTTTTTTTTTAACTTAATGGAACGAGCCTGGAAACATGCTTTGCCCTTAGACAAATCACTGTGCTATGCGTTCTCAAAGATTACAGATCATTCTTAATTATATATATGGTTTTGGTAGAAAATAACATGTATGCAAATGGCTATAGCTTAAGACAGACTGCTAAGTATTAGAAGCTGTTTAGAAATATATCTATGAACCAGAGTAATCAGAAAAAGTCAGTTATACAATCAACTATACTAATTATAAGCCAAAAATATATGTGTATGAGGAACAGGTGAGATTTAATTATCTATATATATTTGGCAATGATGGAGTAACATTACCAGCACTAAATTAATGATTGACAGTAAGAAAACCAACATAAGTTAAATAGAAGTGTAATACAAGTTTAATCGTTCCCTTGTGTTTTACCAAATATTTTATTGAACATTTCACTAAGTTGTTTTATTTTTTATTATAAGTTAGGAAGGGGTTTGCATACCACATCATCATTTTTGTAATCAACATCTTAAGTACTTACCAAAACTTCCAATAGCTTACTGTTTCATGTGCTCCCCTTTTTGGGCCGTTGCTCTAAGGTCAACTGGTTGTAGCCATGGGGGACAACTGCAGTACCTTCTCTCCTGAACTGACATTGTGGAACTGTGGGACAAGTGGCTGGCTTCCTAGCCTAGGAGGCAAAGACCGAGGGACTCAAGGGTAAACTTTCTTTTGACAGTTATGAGTGAAAGACAGGGCTTTCGACTTTTGTCAAGAGTTATAATTTCAGAGACTCACAGGGGCAGTTCTACTCTCTCGCATAGGATTGTTGTGAGTTGGCATCAACC